TGAGCCATGTGGAGAAAGAGAGCGTGGCAGATCACATGGCCCCCCGTCACTTCACCCCGATGCTGAATCCCCTGACTACGTGGCAGCCGCACAGCTAGGACGCTGAGCCTCCTGCTCCAAAAACCACTGTCCTGTTGCTGCTTGATATAAGGGAGAATCCCAGCAACAGCTAGCACTACAGGCTGTATGACACACAGCTGAGCCACGCTGCTTAGCATGACCAACACTCCCTCTAGTGGCGGGCTGCAGCAAAGACAAGATGCTGAATCCCCTGACTACGTGGCAGCCGCACAGCTAGGACGCTGAGCCTCCTGCTCCAAAAACCACTGTCCTGTTGCTGCTTGATATAAGGGAGAATCCCAGCAACAGCTAGCACTACAGGCTGTATGACACACAGCTGAGCCACGCTGCTTAGCATGACCAACACTCCCTCTAGTGGCGGGCTGCAGCAAAGACAAGCAATTTCACCAGGACCAGGGAGAGCAAGTTTGTGCTGGGCCAGAACAGCGCCCCCTTTGAGAGCATCCCCGAGGTCATCCACCACTACACGGCGCAGGAGCTGCCCGTCAAGGGGGCCGAGCACCTCTCGCTGCTCTACCCCGTCGCTGTGCAGACCCTCTGAGCCGGGGGCTGGATGTTGGCTGACCACATGGGGGTGAGGGCTGCTCCCGGAGCCACTGGCTCGACGACTGGGCCGAAGGAGGAAGGGCTGGTCCGGAGCCTGCAGCTGGGAGGCCTCAGCCCAGCATCTCTGGCAAAGGGGGCTGCACTTGGCTGTGACCTGCTGCTTCGGCGCAAGGGACTCGTGCTCCGGAGAAGCAATACCAGGGGCTCTGGCTGCCATGCTGCATCCGACACCCTGCCATTGGCCCACCTGGCTCCAGGGGACGGCTGCTGTGCTGGGAGGGCCCGTAAGAGGAAAGGGGGGAGCCTGGGGCCACCCTGTCTATCAACATCTGGGAGCTTCTGCTGCGGAGCTTTGTCCCGGAGATTGTCCTGCAGTGCTTCCTGCCTCCCTTTCCCCTCCGCCCCGCCTTGGTCTCGCCTACTCCGGCCGTGCCCTGCCCCTAAAAATCCCCTCTGCCCTGCTCTAGGGGGGCTGTGTCCCAGCCTAGCCTGCTCTGAGACTCTCCCAAGCTGCTCCCTCCCTCCCGCCCAATCAGCATCCCCTTCGTGCCCCTCTGGGCAGGATGGAGCCCACAGATTCCCTTCCTTTGGGGAGTCCTGAGAGCTGCCACCGTGGGAGTGGGGTTTCTAGCACATCCGGTCCTGGCCTGTCCCTGTCCTGGCCTGGGACACGCCCGCTACCCCCGGGAAGGCTCTGAGCACAATGACCTGTAGAGACAGTAGATTTGTGTACCTGTCCTACCCCCGGTGTCATCTCACCTGAGTCAGCTCCTCCAAGAACCTCCCTGGCCGCATGAGCCAGGCAGCCCCCCCCATTCCAGGTGTGCGTGTGCGGGTCTGTCGCGCCGTGTGTGCTCTGTGCTGCCGTGTCCATGCTGTACTCGTGCTGCCTTGGCAAATAAGTTTCCATTAAACACTGTTGTCCCGACTCGGCCCTCGCCCGTCAGCCTGCTCCTGCCCAGCTGTGCTGTTACCCACACACATTTCTCTATCCCTTCCACACTTTAGGGACTCACACCTTTCCCCAGTTCCTAGGGCTCAAGGTTCAACCCTGTTAATTTACACACCCACCCTTACCCAATCACTAGGGCTCAGGGTGGAATTTCCTGTGGGTTGGCAGGATCTTTAGCTACTGAAAGAGCCTCACACAGTAATATTCTTATCCTCTATTGATTGACAATTCCTAAACAAGCAGAACACACATGCTAAGCACACAGTGTCATGCTCACCAATCCTGATACAGGCAGGCAAACTTCCCTTGTTGGCCAGGGTCAGGTCAGTCTCTCTGGATCTTAGGGTATGTCTACATCGCATTCCGCTTTTGAGAGAGAAATGCAAATGCAGCCAAACGAAATTGCAAATGAAGCATGGATTTGAATTTCCCGCACTTCATTTGCATAATGGCGTCTTCTTTCGAAATAACCCTTCCTCCTTGGCTACGTCTCTACTGCACATTGTTACGCAAGAAGATAAGCAAATGAGGCTTATCCTGTGCCTCATTTGCTTATCTTCTTGCACAACAATGCGCCGTATAGGCGTAGCTCTTATGGTTTCAGGGTTATTTTGAACAAAGGGTTTGTTTTCAAAATAACCCCATCTACATAGCATTTTTTTTTCCAAAATAGGGTATTTCGGAAAAGCGGCCGGATGCCATTATGCAAATGAAACAAGGGAAATTCAAATCCGCGCTTCATTTGCAATTTCGTTTGCATTCCTCTCTCAACAGCGGACTGCAGTGTAGACATACCCTTAGCTGCTGCACGTCACGGTCACGCAGGAGTCCTGGCAGCTCTGGTCTTAGGTTGGAGGCGAGTTCTTCCAGGTCTTTCTTCTTGGTGGTCCTTTCTGTTCTTGTTTCCCGTTTGCTCTTCTTGCTGGTCTCCTTCTTGGACCCCAGTTTATATAGTGAAACCTGTGTCCTGCTTAGCTATACTTTAACCAATTATTTTAGTATAATTTTACTAACCAATCATAACAGAATTACCTAACCAATCATACCCCACCACCTTAGTTGATTTACACCTAGCAAAATTATACAGCAGACAGAAACAGCTACAAACCAGCCAGAGATATCACAAGCAATAGGACGATGATCATACAATGGATTCCACAACCACAGCTATTGATAAGTAGCTGCTTGCCAGACAGAATGGTGTCACTTGCGTTTTCTTTACCCATCTTGAGATCTGTTTCTTTATCTGGTGACAGTGCGGGGCGAGCGGGGGGAGGGGGGCTATTAGGACAAAACCCCCTTCTCACAGCCCGGTGTGACACTATTTTAATGCAATTTACATGAAAGGTGAATATGTGACTCTCGGCCTTACAGCTAATGGCTGCTGCTCTTCAGTCTGACGGCAGCAGAGAGCTTTGGGTTAGGCCTTCCAGCATGGTTACAGAAAAACCATATTGTTACAGCGCAGGGGTCCTACCGGGGTCCCATGCATTACACTGGGGGCGGCCCAGGGCAGATCCGGTCCCAGGGCTGCTGCCTAAATCCAAGCCTAGAGGTGACATTTGCCAAAGTACCTCGTGATTCAGGAGGAAAAGGGACCTTTCCCCTCCCAGGCCCCGTTGTTGGGTCTTTTCCCCGCCGTTTCCAGGCCTCGCTTAACGAACCAAGTGTAGCTAAATTAGCACCTGCAGCTGCAATGCCACCTCCTGGAACATGGCCACTCCCACATGGCTGGAAGGAAGGGGGGGGCAGGAAGCAGAGCTGGCGGGGGCGGGGAGAGGTGCAGCGGTGCTGGCCAGGGAGATCAGAAAGAGGAACGGGCCAGCGGGAAGCAGAGCTGGGGGAGGTGCAGGGAGGCTGGCTGGGGAAGATCCAGAGGGAAGTGGGGAAGAACTGACCAGCTGGGAAGGGAAGGGGTGAGCAAATTGGCTAACGGGGAGCAGGACTGACCTGGGCACTTGCTCCCTGTCCCGCGCAGGGTCCTGGCGACGCACGAGCGAGGAGGAGGCTTCCCCTCCTCCTCACACTCAACCAACTAAGGGCTCCCAGCTGCAATCATGGCCCCCCCTCCCACCCGGGG